ATTTATTTGGGTAAGGAAATATCTCTGAAACAATAACCGAAGGAGGGGCTGTTTTTGAGTCTGTCCTATAATTGTAGCACTGTATTTGGTGCATGTGTTCCTGTGAATATACAGTGGTACTTTTTTAAAATCATGTTTAGGTCATATTTATATAAAAATATTGAAAATTCAAAAGAATTCACAAACTTTTAAGCATCACTGTATAAACGCATGTGTGCTCTTTAAATTTCCTTTTACTTTCCCCTGTTATAACAATATATACTGTTATGTAGCATTTTATTGCATTATTAGCTCAAAATATAGAGTATTATGTTAAAGTGTGATCAAGTACATTTCTATGTTATTTTGCAAACAAAATGGGTTTTAGCAAATAAAAGACTGGTTTTGTTTTGGGCAACTATAGCTCCTAAAAGTAACCACATTAGCCATACAGGGTATTATTTTCTTTTGATTTTAAAGACTATCAAAGTTCTGGACATTCACATAAACAATAAACTGAGATATTCTCACATCTATTTTTGTTTTTCTTAGAGAATATCTAAGCTCAGCTTTTTAATAAAAGCTATCTAAGAAGTATCTCCCAGTAACAGTTTCCATTTTCTTTGCTGAGAATCACCAAATCAGCAGGATATCTATTTACCACATCCTTGCTTTTCATTATGTATGAGTTCTTCTAGCTTTGAGATCACTAAAAGATTATATGAAACAATTGTTTTCCATAGGAACATGATGACTGGAATGCTACAACATAATACAATCTACACACCATAAAAATTAGGTTTTGACTTCTTAGCTCCAATAATCTGCAGCTGTAAGATAAAATTATTTTATTAAACACTGATAGGCATTAAAATAGTACACTTATCTTTTTTGAATGTTTTAGCAGCCATAAGAACACAATAATTAAAAAAATTATTAATGCAAAATTAACTACCAACCTACCCACCCTGAAAATGGCACTATAAACAATTTTGTTCTCTAAGAAATTGATTAAGGTATTGATATCAATACCTTAAGGTTTATTTTCAGAAGATGAGGCAGCAAGAAACTTGGCACAACAGTACAGGAAGGCGGACTCTGGACTCCACCTACGAGTCTTTTCCAGCCAGAACTGTACTTTGCAATGTTACCCTACCTGGGATTTCTTCCAGGATTCTTTTGGAAAGTTTGCCCTCTTCTGATAAGGCCAGGAATAACATAACAGAATTCTTAAACCAGTTGGGTTTTGAGTTTTCTCAGATTGTGAAGATGGAAGTCCAATTATTATCTTCCTATTCTAATACACCACAGCATATTTTGTGAAATAAGCTGTCATTATGAAATTATCATTTGCCGTAATGCAGGCCAGAAACCATGTACCTTTCTTTTTCCTTCTAGTCTTTTTCTTCTTCCTCCTGCCTTTCTTTCTTCCTGCCTTCCTCCTTCCTTTCCTTCCTCTTCCTTCCATGTTTCCTTCCTTGCTTGTGTCCCTTCCCCCTTCTTTTCCTTTCTCCCCTTTCCCTCCCCCTTCCCAGCAGATAAGTAAGTGGCTAGTGCTGGGTGGGGGAGGAGGCAAGGGAGTGTGCAAGTGGCAAGGAATTTTTATTGTTGCCAGTCTGGAACATGGCAAACAAAATAGAATTACTCAGTCTCTGCTAGGAAACAAGCATGTTTGGCAATCTGCACAATGAAGACTTTTAGAATTTACCTTCACTACTGGGTCTATAAATTTTGGGAAATTATCAACCTCCGAGATAAAATGTGTTAATTCTTACAAATTTTGATTAGATGAATTAGAAAACAGGTGGTAAGGGTGCTGGTTGGCTAAAGTTTTCAAGATATTTCACAATAAAGATTTATACACAGGTGAGTATATTTGCCTACAAGGAAGGGAGATATCTAATGATCATGCCTTATAACTTCTTGACAAGGTATGGCAGAACAATGAAAATGGTACCCATATGGAAGTGTATAAATTTATCTTCACTTTGAGACTAAAGATTATTACCTAACTGTAATTTATTATTTTATTGCAAGGCACATTTGTCTTGGTCAGATCTATGCATCATATAGTTACACCTGGTGGCTTGTGAAAGTGTCATTGCCTAACATTTCCAAGGAACAGTTGGGTGATATTTTCTCTCAAGCCAAGATGCCTTGAAACTGTAAATAATGCAAATATCTTCTGCTACAGTTGTGATGAGGTAACATCTGCATCTCAAAAATGTAGTAGTTGACAGCATACCATCTATATTTTGAATGCAAAATAGGGGATCAGGACAAGAGTTGGGACCCTCATTATTGTTGCATTACATGTGCAACTTATCTGCGCCATTGGCTAAACAAGATGAAAAAGTCCATGCCTTTCACAGTCCCAATGGTGTGGAGGTAACCCACCAATCAAAGTAGCGACTGCTATTTTTGCAAAAGGGAGCTCAAGAAAGAAGTGGGCCATGGAATACTCAAACATTCCATCCGCACTGCCTCCTGTACCCCATGGTGAGAATTTGCCAATTCCAGATCCACCAGAATCCTACTCTCTAGATTCAGATGATGATAAAGACAACGACCAGGATACAGTTGATCTATGTCAATGGACCCAACCTTTAGCCCACTGTAAGCTCCTCCTGAACCACATCTAATTTCTCAGAGTGAACTAAATAACCTGGTCAGGGATTTGGAATTGCCTAAGAGTGAGGCAGAGCTACTGGGCTCCAGAGTACAACAGTGGAATTTCATGCAGAGTGAAAAAGCACGAAAATGTTACATGATAAACCAATAAGGGAATGGAAAGTTATGTTATTGGTTTCAATAAAAAGATAAATTTATAATGATTGGTGTGGCACCATTCCCGTTGCTATATCACATTTTGTAGAAAGGTTATGGAGCATAATCGCACATCCCCCTCATAATTTTGAATTATTTTGATGAATTTTGACCTGAAGCTGTATCTTAAAACTGGAGCAAATTAATACTCAGGACTTAATTTTCCTTTATTAGTGACCCAATTCTGGTAAAATTTTGCTACTTTATTTTCTGAGATTTCTCCTTGTAGACCATTCGGCCATAAAAAAGTAGCATACTCACTCATATGATTTTAAGATTCTGCTTTATTTTTAGAATACACAGATATCTCATTATGAGTGATTTAAACATTTTGGCACAGGTCAGTAAAGATTCAGATTATTAACATCAGGTAACCATAAAAGATGTATCCCAAAGTTTAGGATTGTTTTTTTCAGAATCTGCAAGATCAACAGCTTTTACTTAGGACAAAGGTACTTCATCATTTTAGGAATTAATACTAACATCTGTCTTTCTTTTGTCTTTATTCAGAGGTTGCATCAAGATATTCATCCATTTTAAACAACTTGTAAAATGCATTTTTATGAAAGTTATTGAAAATATTAAAATTAAAAGAACTTTAACATTTTACTTCAATAATATTCAAAACAGCGTGGCCTATTCAAATACAATTTGTTTGCAGACTTTTAATAAAGCCTCTCTTCTTTAGGTAAGACATACATAAGCTCAGTTAAGAACAAGTATGTCACAAGCTCTTAGCAAACAATTGCTGTTGGTTCTCTTTTCATGCTAGCAAAATCAATTGGTAAGGTTGCTATCGATCTGATACATATGACTATCTAGGAATGAGCAATCTATGGACTCTAGGTAATGCAGATGTTTATTCCTATCACCTTTGTACACTGGCTAGGGTAGCAGAGGTTGATGGGAGCTGAAATGAAAAAATCTGCAGGGCCATAATTGGGTCACCTGTGAGTTATTCACATATGTCAGCATTTCCCAACTTAATGCAAAACTAAGTGGCCTACAATTTCTATCAACCTCAGTTAGGATGTTAATTGTCTGTGTCTGAAAGATACAGTACTCAGTTGGGAAAGAATGATCTATCTAAACATCATAAAACGTGCTCAGCATGCTATTTTTTCCCCATAGGTCCAACCCTAGTCCCAAACACTGGGAACTTCTATGTAATGTGGTCCTCCTCCCTAGCTTGCATGCCTAGCAGGAAAAGACCCCAATTAGCACAAATGGCTTTCTTCTCTGCCAGAATGAGTCCTAAAATATTTTTCTTCAAGTACCTTTTACACAACATCAATCATACAGGCATATGGATTCTGTAAGGAAATATGTCTACATTACTGATGAAGTAGCATGTAAGTATGTGAGGGCTGCCCAGAAGGCTTCTCAGGGCTAATCAACCTGGATCAGATGTGAAAATATATGACTGGATGGCAGCAAGGCCGATAGACTGCCCAGTGGCTGCACTCTGCATAGGCGTGAGGTAAACTGACCTAAAAGTCCCATCCAGGAATATCTACTGAGGTGCCCATAAAGAAGCACATATTACTAGCTTAATCAAAAGGAGAAATTCATGTTCAGAAAGAACTGACCATATACAGAACTACTTTTATTTACATGAAAAAAATATAAAGTGCAAGATCTAATGGACAAAACATTTCAACAGACATTTATAAAATTTTCTGAAACAAGATGTACAATAATTCTGCAAAATAAATACAGTATATCAGTAATATTTATCACTAGGGTGCTGCAGAAATATTTATTTTCAAGGAGAACATTTGCACCACAGAATAATTTCAATTACCATCTTTCATTCTGAGAATGCTTCTCCAAACACAATTTGTGCATACTGAAAACCATATGTTCATGTATTACATGGGAATATATATTTTTTCACATGTAAGATTCACATCTGTGTGCTTCTTGGATTACATTCAAAGTTTGTATACCTAATTTTCCACTATATAGTTTCATTACAATCTTGAAACCCAGTCATATGCAACTTAGTGGAGAAATTAATCCCCCTTTAAGAATATTGTCTTGCAAAAAAAAGTGCATATATAATACATTGTAAGATTCTGAACAGGAAAGAAATCCAGGGAAATACTATGCCTTGCTTCCTAATACTGGCATGGAATTTTTGTTTCATAATTTATTTTGGAAAATATTCAATTTAGTCATTTATACTAATACATAAATAACATTTGTTCTCTTTTACATTGAATACAGTATCATTTAGTCTCAATTTTTCCAGTTCCAAGGGATGCAGAGGTCTCCATCTTGAAGAACAGAAAAGAAATGGGAAATGCAGAGATGCATACCTTGCAAATATGGCAATGATTCTTCCAGTAGCTTGCTGCATGAATGAATCATTTGTGCACTGGAAACACTGGGTTCTTTATATAACCTTTGAAGACAAAATTTCTCCGTGGTAGCCTTGATCAGCTTCTTTTCTAGCAGTATGAACCTGAAATTGTAAACATCCCGTGCACAGCTTAATATTATAAAAAACAGAAGAAGATGCCAAATGAGTTCTTGGGTTTAAAAAGATTTTGCATTTTTGTAATTACTGAAAAAAATCCTATCTAGTTTCCCTTTCCCAAACTGCAAATAATCTGCAATATTCTATCAAAGGTGAATTTAAAGGAATATGAAAACATATAGTAGTTGAAGTTATTTCACAAGTATCTTTTCAAGTACTTTCTCAAGTGTCTTCTATTCCACATTTTTTTGCCAATTCAAATTCAATTTAAGATTAATTTGAGAGGTTTGCTTAACAACTGCTAATACTGATTTAAATTAACACTACATCTCAAGTTTATTATTCCCTTAAAGTCTGATTTATATGTGCGTATCTACATAATAAGTACATACATTTAAATGTATGTTCACTACCCCATAAATTAAGACTCAATAGCATAAAAAACTTCTGGGTGCAACAGAATCTTGTGGACTAATATTTATTTTTATTTACACATACTATGGAGTGTTGCCTTGGAACCTCTCAAGTTATCAAGTAGAGAATGGAATGTCTGTTTTGAGTAATACTTACTCTTCCTTTCTTTTCAGTTTTTCTCTTGCTTGTTGAGTTTTGTCCATGATAAACCACTGGAGAGCTACTAGATCACACATTACCGGGATGATGAAGTGACCAAGTTCATGAAGATTTGGTGCATAACTGTCACTGCATAAAAGATAGAACAAACAAGTTGATCTTGCTATTGGTATCCAAATTATGTAATGTTCATATCAAATAAGCTTAACTCAAAAGAAAATGAGTTTTAGAAATTTTGGGAAATATACAATGATTTAACATAATATAGCAATATAATCTCCACTCAATTAAAAATATTAAACAAGTTACACCCCAAGATTTTACATTTAATATTTTAAAAGATTCTTATTTACCTAGTACATTAGCAGCTTTGATTTCATAGTTAGCAGTCTTTTGAATTTATCATTTAATCTTTCTAACTTCCAAGTCTGCTTTGCATATTAGATTATAAAGTGAAGGATGGAGGTTCATCTCATATCATGTGTATTTTAGGACATGCAGAAAATTGTATGGTTCTATAATTTTGTGACCTTAACAGAAAGAATTATCTTCTACGACTTTATTTCTGGAATAAGAGAAAATAATTATCCTAAAATAACTTTATGGCTGATTTAAAGTTCAAGACCTCTTTGGAGAACATGTGGAACATGGAGAGCTCAACATAGAAAAATATGGATTAGACAGCATCACCACCAGATGGATTCATAACTGGCTGACCAATTGCACTCAACATGTAATCCTCAATGGAACTGCATCTACAGGGAAGTATGCAGTGGGGTATGCCAAGGCTCTGTTTTAGGCCCAGTACTTTTCAACATCTTCATCAATAATTTGGATGAGGGGATAGCTGGGGAACTCATCAAATTTGCAGATGACCTCAAACTGGCAGGAATAGCCAACATTCCAGAAGATAGGCTTAAGATACAGAAGGATCTTGACAGACTTGAACATTGGGTGCTATCTAATAAAATGAAATTCAGTGGTGAAAAAAAAGTAAGGTACTACATTTAGGCAAGAAAAACCAAATGCACAGGTACAGTATAGGTGGTACCTTGCTCAATAGTAGTAACTGTAAGAGGGATCTTGGAGTCCTAGTGGACGATCACTTAAATATGAGCCAGCAGTGTGCTGCAGCTGCCAAAAAAGCCAACACACTCCTAGGCTGCCATTAACAGAGGGATAGAATCAAGTTTACATGAAGTAATACTGTCTTGGTAAGGCCACACTTGAAATACTACATCCAGTTTTGGTCACCATGATGTAAATAAGATGTTGAGACTCTAGAAAGAGTGCAGAGCAACAAAGGTGATCAGGAGACTGGAGGCTAAAACATATAAAGAACAGTTGCTGGAATTGGGTATGTTTAGTTTAATGAAGAGAAGGACTAGGGGTGACATGATAGCAGTGTTCCAACATCTCAGGGATTGCCAGAAAGAAGAGGGAGTCAAACTATTCTCAAAGTATCTCAGGGCAGAACAAGAAGCAATGGATGGAAACTAATCAAGGAGAGAAGCAACTTAGAATAATTAAAGAGTGGAATAACTTGCCTCCAGAAGTTATGAATGCTCCAACACTGGAAGTTTTAAAGAAGAGATTGGATAACTATTTGTCTGAAATAGTATAGGGTTTCTTGCCTGAGCAAGGGGTTGGACTAGAAGACCTCCAAGCTCCCTTCCAACTCTGTTATTCTATTCTATTCCATTCCATTCCATTCCATTCATTTAGTAAGGTTTTTGTATTGCTAGCTATTCCAGTCTATAGAATGTGGTTTGAAGAGTGTTATATTAGAGAGAAATAGGAAATGCATTATTTTTAACTGATTTATATTAATTTTTATTTGTAGCCTGTTCTTCCTTCATTTTAAGTGAATGATTTTTATTGCTCTATTTTTTAAGAAAAGATCTGAGGCAGGAAAGACTTAATTAAAATAATTATTCAGCACATAAAATGCCAAAATGTTTTAAAATGATCCTTTTTTAGAAGCTCTGCAATAGAAATCCATATAAAGAAATCTGAAGCTTTATTTATTGAAGACTTTTCCTAAATTCAGTCACAAATGCAGATTGATTAGCCAATGACATTTATAAATATACTTTACAGTAGTCTGATAAATCTAAACAAGCATAGAAAAGAACAGAAACATACACATTTAATATTAAAAAGCTTTAAATTTCTAATATTCTGATGATGTGCCTAAAACCAAGAGAATCATAGTCACAGATATCCATCCATAATAATAATTTTGTGATACCCAGAAAATTAATAAGAATTTCTTAAAGCCTAATATAACTAGAACTCTGCCCATTTTCAACACATATATGTCTTTCAAAATGTATCTTGTGATATAGCCATTCCTTTAACATTATATGTCTTCAAGCTTGTAATAAAATTAATTAGTCTATTTGTCTCCAACTACAAAACTGCCTGCTAACATACAATTCATTTGTTCTACAAAATAGGCATTTCTTTTTGAAAATGGGAAGCTGGCTTGAACTGATTTCTGTGGATCACATGCTAAGTATTCCTTTTAGAACTTCTTGCTGCTTGAGTATTTTCCAAAATATATCACCTTAAAAATATTTTGCTTTGCACATAAGCCTTCTGAAGCAGGGAATCAGCATAAAGAATTAACCTGAAATAATATAATGGATATGCATTTATAGGAAATGAAGCAATGGAAATAGATATAGTGAACTGGTGACAAATATGATGTTCCAGATTAAGACTGATCTTACTCATTAATTAAAAAGCTTTAAATAAAGTTTTAGGTAAAATGGGAATAACAGCAGAGATGTCCTGTGATTTCAAATGAATGTAAAGTATCAAAGTTAGATTAGCACAGCACCGAAGTAACAGTATGTGCATGCATGCAGGTATGTGTTGCATGTGTGACAGAAAATGAGAGTGACGGAGAAAGAGAGAAAGAAAAAGGAAAAAAATTAGGAAAGAAATTTCCTCCTCATTATAGCTATAGCATTTCACATGAAACACTCTAAAAGATGATGCAGGAATACTTTCCAATGAAGCTATGCCATGATCAGGCTGCCATTTAAAGAGGGTGAAAAATATTATACTAATCAACCTTGTCCTGATTCAAAATTCCATTGAGTTTGTACTGATGTTAAGTTCTGAAGTTTCATTTTATTGCAAATAACTACATCAAACAACCAAACATTTGCTGCTTATGTAAAATGATATGTTGGGAAGGGAAGAAAGAAGAACAATTGGTTTAGTGATCGAAAGGTCTGTCTTTATTCAGAGAGATCTTTGTAATCAGACCACAATCAGTCATCCCAATCACAACATGAAGGATGGGTGACAAGATCGCAGGAGGTAAAGAAAGAGACTGCTCTTCCAAGCTGGAGACACTGAGTAATAATGGGAAAATGACAGGTCTATTAATGATATTGGAAATTCTGGAAACACTTTGGAAGCAAGTAGTAAAGTTTGGATACAAAAACAAAAACAAGACAAGCCAGGAATATTCATTTGTCAACAATTTTAAAAAAGTAAGATAGCCCAATCTTGAAAAAAAACCTGCTCTTAAATAAAATATCAAGATATCCTGATAATTTAAATAAAAATATATTTTGGACAGGGAAAGGGAATTATGCCCTGGTGGTTACTGCCTGAACTGTGTAGCATGATATATCTATGACATGATGTCAGATTTAAGAAAAAGGTTTTTGGTTAGTTAGGAAGACACTGAAGTTGCTACTGTAAAAACCAGTGGCAAGAAATCCACTGGTAATTTGGATTGAAATGTTTTCTCCTTGCGCAAATGACCAGTTTATTACCACTTTACAGAACTGGAGCAGCAGGACTATAATGCATGCAGTCAAAGGAGATATAGTTTGGTATAGTGTTAAAGATGCTGGATTAGAATCTGAGATACCACAGTACATTCTAATCCCATGTTAAGCATGTACATCAGCCAGGTGATTTTGCCTTCGTGTTTTTATCCTTAGGTACTTTTAGCCCTAGGAAGAAGTTATAGCAAAGTCATTTTCAAAAATTTTATCAAGGGAACTGCAGGGACCTGTCATCAAGAGTCAGGGTGCAACTACATTAATTGGAGAAAAGAAAAACAGATGACCAAGCACGTTTTTTTTAAAACAATAGTTTGGGGAAATCTGAATTAAAACAGAATGTTGTTATTGTTTTTTTTTCCCTAAATTATGCTTTAGGACTGGAAATAAATTAGAACATACTATTCCGAGAGCAGCCTGGGGAGACTGGACCATTCTCAAAGCATGAGATTCAGCCTTTTAAATAGATTAGGTGGCTTCCTGCACAGGTCTCTTTTCCAGCAACTATATCCAACAGCAGAAATTAAATGTCCTTATGTTTGAGCACTCTCCCCCCATTTCCCCACCCCTAGAAGTGCTCTGATCTTAGCCATAAGTATTTCAGAAAAACCAACTGACTATAACATAACTACCATTAAAGATAAACTTGGGAAACAATATCTACTTCTTTAGATACACACCTTTCTAGAATCATTTGCAATCCACGCAGACTATTAGGGTGAAATGGAAGTCTCTTATTATGTATTTGATCATAAAAGTTGTCAAGAATAGAATAATACTCTTCAATTGTCAACATTGGTTGAAGCTCTTCAATATAAATTATTTGTATGCCTCCCAAAAGTTGGCTAATGCGCTCCTCTAGAAACAGCACTTTTTTTTGAAGTGTAGAGTAACTTGGCAACCTCTCAAAAATCTGCACAAAATGAAACATTTTCTTAAAAGTTCATGACAGGATTAAACACTCCTTCAATCCTCCAAACTAAACAATTTTAGATAATACCTCAGCATTAAACTAATTTTTAAAAATGTACACACCAGTTTTTCAGTTGTTACTATAATGAACATTGTTATATATTCAATACAATTTGCCCAGAATTTGCTGTACAATTTTCACTTCTATCCATTGGCAACTTATTGGAGAAAGCTGGTGTAATTTTTCAAAATAAACAATATACACAGGGGACACTAGTATTACTATACTCTACTTGCTATTTTAGCGCTTACATTATTTGTGCCCCAAATAATATTAATGTGCAGAAACATGAGAAGTCATACTTGCAATTAACTAAAGTGCTGATGCATATGTCAGCTTTCCTTTGAAGCAAGGGAAGAGTTCAAAAGCCAATCAGAGAATATATGCATCCCAACACTGCCCCCCTTACCAGGTTAAGAGACACATTGAAACTAATTTCAATCACAGTTTCCATTTACTATTATTTTTACATATTAAATGGTAAAGATAAACACTAATTTATCAATCTATTATTAAGATTTCTAAGTGACAATTTTATGCATCTACTTGGTGTGATTTTTCTTGCTTTTTATAAATAAGTATTTCAGAGAGCATTCTGTGCAGGGAATGCCATTGGAATGGAAGAGTTATCAAGTGGGAGTGGTTGTTTAGAAGAAAGATTATGTTTTAATGATTATCTATTTTTGTGTGTTTTTGTGGTAGATAAAAGCCATCTAGAGCGTATAATGCATAAAATCTCAGGTAATAAATAAGGCAAATGATAGATAGATAGATAGATAGATAGATAGATAGATAGATAGATAGATAGATAGATAGATAGATAGAGCAAGACAGACAGACAGACAGACAGACAGACTCATGTGCTGAGTACTACAAGAAAAAAATTAACTCAGTTTCCAAACCTTACTTTGGTCCAGTGGTGATGAACGTCCATTGTTCCTAGCATAACATAGCCTGTTGCATTCATTCCTGAACGGTCTGTAAATATCACCGTTTGTCCTATTGGAAAGAGAAATTTGTAATCACTATCATAGATCAGGTTGGATATGGGAATGGTCATTTCACAGAAAAGGGAACAAGTAAGCTAGAGAATGAAACTTTCTTGAATACACAATTTTTTCCCAAAATGAGTCAAATGTGTACATGATATATAAAAATATGGGCTGATGGGAAGACAGAATAGTATTTCAACCCTCTTTCTCTGTAGCAGGGGAATAGATATATTTTTTATTCTAGAAGCTGCCATTGTTCCAAAAGTTAGATTATTGAATTAAATTATTTTTGTACTCTGTTAGTTAACTAGAAGGAAACTAGCTCATGAGGTTCTCTGTCTATTTCCAAAGTTTGAAAGTTAGCAAAAGAGAAAAACAATCAACACTGCTGAGGAATTAGTAGTGTAAATAAGAAGTACAAATGGTGCCATGTGGAAGTGTTCTAACTTAGACAAACAGCTTAGTAAGGAATATTCTTAATTATTAGAATTTAAGATAAACTCCTGAGGAAACTCTGCTTACAGGTATATAGAGACTGAGTTTCTTTAGGACAAATATAGCACTCTAATTTCTGTCTTGAAGGAAAGCAGGCGACTTTAATAGATCTCTGTTAATATGCTTTATATTAGCTTAATGTTCTGAATTATTTTTGTTAATGAAATTACAACTAAAGGAAATTGCAATAGGAAAATGTACCTTTAGCATTCTTAGGTGCTTCTGGGCTCTGGTGTGCTAAGCGACTTAGACTATGTAACTGACTACATCGATGAGCAATACCCCAACTCCTCTGCCACCTAAAAAAAATAATTCAGAATTTTAATTATTTGAAAATTTTACACCCATACATAATATTGATAGTTGATTTAAAAAACAATACTTTAAAATGTCATTGCAATGTAAACAATTCCAATTTCATATATATCATGCACTTTATCAAATCTAAATGTTAAATGAAAAACTTAAAAAATGAGAAAAAATAAGTTAAGCGAATGTTTAGGAACAGTTTGCTTCTATTTAAATGGTAACAATGAATTAGACTATAGCTACAACTTTCTGCATCAGTATAGTTACTACTTATACTATCTATTTATACTATAATTTAGGTATTACAGATAGAAGACCTTTCACAAAGTAAAATCTTGCTGCCTGCTAAATGATTGTAGTTGCTGATCTTGTTGAGAATAGAGTACAGGGCTAAAAAGATTTTTGGATTGAACTAATTATTAAAAAAATGAAAAAGTAAGCTAATGGAATGTAATGGTATTCACTACCTAAATAGAAATGTATAAAACATGGCTAAAAACATTTCATTATTAAAGACTGGAGGTTTTTAATTAAGTGCATCAATGCAAGAAAATGTATCACACTTGGATGTGCCAAAGGTGCTTTTTCAAAAGGAAACTGGATTTTCTTGTTTTTCTTTGAAGACATTTTCCTTTTCATTCAAGAAGCTTCTTCAGCTCTGCTGAATGGAAGGCAAATGGAAGGATTTATATTCCTTGCAGACAGCTGGTCATTTGCATTCTTTTAGAGAGTCATTGAGGCCACTTGGAGGTTTATCTGTGTCCTCAGGGTCACTTGAGTAGTGTAAATATGCTTGGAGTCTTCTTGGAACTGCTGAAAGGACTGTGTTGTAGATTGGAGATAGATGTTGTATCCCTCCCTCTCTGTTGAGAGAGGCCATTCAGTTTTGACATAGATGGCCTCTTTGACCTCTCTTTCAAACTAGCGGTCCTTCCTGCCCAAAATGTGGACTTTGCTGTCTTCAAAAGAGTGGCCTTTGTCTTTTAACTGCAGATGGACTGCTGAATCTTGTCCTGATGGGTTTGTTCTCCTATGTTGTGCCATGTGTTTATGAAGTGGCTGTTTTGTTTCCCCAATGCACATGTCTTACTGCACTGTACTGCATATACCACATTGCTCAGTCTGGGTGTTTTATCCTTGGATGAACAAGCTTCTGCCTTAGTGTAGTCTTGGATTCAAAAGAGGCCATCTGTGTCAAAATTGAACAACCCTCTCTCAACAAAGTGGGAGAGATACGACATCATCTATCTCCAGTCTACAACACAATCCTTTCAGCAGTTCCAAAAAAGCTCCAAGCACATTTACACTACTCAAGTGACCCTGAGGACACAGATAAACCTCCAAGTGGCCTCAACGACTCTCTAAAAGAATGCAAATGACCAGCTGTCTGCAAGGAATATAAATCCTTTTATTCCCCACTAGCCAGTCAGAGCTGAAGAAGCTTCTTGGATGAGAAGCAAAATGTCTTCAAAGAAAACAAGAAAGTTCAGTTGTCTCTTGAAAAAACACCTGGATGACTTGAGAATTTCCATAGATTGGGAATCACTCACACTCGGAAGTGATAGATGGGGAATTGGAAGAAATGGAGCAACTCGATTTTGTCTAATACTGAAGACCTTATCAGATATATAAGATATATACCCAGGCCTTCTTTTGTAATAATTCTCAGTTGAAGTTCTCCTCTCAATGAAATAAATGGGAAACAGAACAAAATAGAATAGAATAGAATAGAATAGAATAGAACAGAACAGAACGGAATGGAACAGAATAGAGCTGGAAGGGACCTTGGAGGTCTTCTAGTCCAGCCACCTGCTCAAGCAAGAGTCCTATATCATCTCAGTCAGATGACTGTCCAGTCTCTTTTTAAAAACTTCCAGCAATGGAGCGCCCACAATTTCTGGGGGTAAACTGTTCCATTGGTTGACTGTCCTCACAGTCAGGAAGTTTCTCCTTAATTCCAGGTTGTTTCTCTCCTTGATCAGCTTCCAACCATTGTTTCTTGTCCTTCCCTTTGGTGCTCTGGTGAACACCTGTCCTCCTCTGTCTTGTGGCAGCCTTTCAGATACTGGAACACTGCTATCATGTCTCCCCAATTTCTTCTTTTCTTTAGAGTACCCAAACTCAAGTTCCGCAGCTGTTCTTTGTACGTTTTGGTCTCCAGGCCTTTGATCATCTTAGTTGCTCTTCTATGAATTTTTTACACTCTCTCAGCATCTTTTTTGTGATATGGTGACCAAAATTGGCTGCAGTATTCGAGGTATTGTCTTACTAAGGCTTTATAAAGTGGTATTAATACTTCACGTGATCTTGATTCTATGCCTCTGTTTATACAACCCATGATTGTATTAGCTTTTTTGGTTGCTGCTGCGCACTGCTTGGAGTCCCCAAGGACTCCAAGGTCCCTCTCACAGTTACTGCCTCCAAGCCAGGTCTCGCCCTATCTGTATTTGTTCCTTTGGTTTCTCTTGCCTAAGTGTAGGACTTTGCTTTTCTCCACATTGAAACTCATTTTGTTGCATAGGGCCCATTGTTCAAGTTTATCAAGATCTTTTTGGATCCTGAGTTTGTCTTCTGGGGTGTTGGCTACTCCTGACAGTTTGCTGTCATTTGCAAATTTGATCAGTTCCCCTTCAATTCCCTCATCTGTCATTTATGAAGATACTGAAGAGTATTGGCCCTAAGACGGATCCTTGTGGTACCCCACTCCTTACTTCATGTGGATGTAGTGCCATTGAGGACTACTCGTTGAGTATGGTTGTCAGCCAGTTACAGATCCATCTGGTGGTGATGTTGTCTATTTCATCTTTTTATAGCTTACCGAGGAGTAGGTTGTGGTCCACTTTGTCAAATGTCTTACTGAAATCTAGGTATACTACCTTCATTGTGTTTCATTGGTCTACTAATTTAGTTACTTTATCGAAGAATGAGATCAGATTGGCTTGGCATGATCTGTTTTTAACAAATCCATGCTGACTGCTAGTTATGACTTGGTTTGCTTCTAGTTGTTTGCAGATCTCATTTTATCTTCTAAAAACCCTCAATTACTTTAGAAATACTAATTGATCGTAGGTACCAAAAAGATTTAATGATTGAGCCTAAATTTCTCCAGTTCAAAAATTGTTTCATTTATTAAAAATAATAACAAAGGCTATTTTTTAAAAAAAAAACATATTTGGAAAACAGTATCTGTAATTAATATAAACACTTTTTTCAGTGTTGGCTTTTGCTGGCTATTCTTGCATCTGCCCAGATATTCAAAACATTTTTACATGACTAGTAGAAGCTGAATATAGAACAGATTTCCTGTTGAAAATGTTCCTGTAGAAAGAAGAGGGACTATTGGGTTGACATTAATTACTTCAAAAGTAAGGACAGAAGAAAGGGAGGAATTAGAACTTTGATAGAATAGGTATAATGGCAGGCAGAATCTAAAAGTAGATCTCGACAGCAATGGCTGTTGAAAACTTATAGTTTTAAGGAAGAGTGTCCAACCTAAATTGGTCTGAGCAGTGCTAAAAACTGGTTGGTGTATGCCATTTCAGAAAAGATTGAAGAAAATTGTTTGGTAACATCTAGAAAATGCTTTACAGAAGAAGATGAAGATACACCATGGACTTTTTTTCTACTCAATGCAAGGGATTTCTCATAAATTGATGATGTTCTGCCAGTAAGAGTCTAGGCCAGACATGTCAAACTTGCAACGTCACATGACGTCGCGCAACGTATCGGGACAGTTTTGCCATTGCCGGCAATGTGGTGGGTGTAGCTTCCGGATGATGCGTCTGGCCCGTGGGCTGGCAGTTTGATACCCCTGGCCTAGGCTATAAGCCTATGTGAGTCTAAGAAAGAAAAATGCTGTCAATGTATTCACTTCTTGTCTTTTAAATAGAATGTGAATATAGTAATCAGAAATAGTTCATTGCAGCTTGAAAAAGTCAAGTTAGAGCAAATTTAGGCTGTAGTAATCTGTGCAGTACAAAAAATATTCCATTTCAGTACTTTTTTTTACCTCAAATCACTGTTGGCAGAAAGGAGGAGATGGCCTTGTGCTATCTAGTGGTAACTTGCTAAGAAATGTGATGAAATCAAAAGCAATTTGCTTACTTAATGGTTTTTCTTAATAAATCCCTCAAAATATAGAAGCTACATTTGCATTATGTCTTTCAACAAATCCCGTGAACCCTCGGGAAAACTTAGTTATAGGCTAATTACAATTCAGGGAAAAATGCATTTTTGAAATAACTTCCTTTAGAAGTTATTGAACTGGTAGTTTGTAGTCAAGAATAGTCTTGTGTTTTAGTATTTTTACTAAAACATTAGATGTTGTATAATTAATTTTATGCAATACATATAAAAATAAAGAGAAACAAAATAATACTTAAAATACTTGGAGCATTATAAGCATGACATAAAAATTGTATCCACTATTTTATAGAAAAACTGAGAAAGCAATTATTTCTTGGAAAAGCACTTGTGATACAAATAATGCATTTTTTGAAAGTAAAAACTATTTTTATCATACTTTATATATAATTATATTCAATAGATCACGCTTTAGCATAATTTAAAATATATTTGCTAGGGCCCCTTTATTTTAGGTCTATTTTTCTTATTTATCTTGAAACCTATATAAAAAGTTTGTTTTTCTCCAAAAAGTTAATGTATTACCTAATATCAGAGAGCTGCAACTTCTGACAGAGTTCACTTTTCAAACGATCTAATTCTTTTCTGAGTGGTAAGCTGTCCTTTAGCTTCTTCGTGGCATTTTTTTCATTATTATCTAACCAGGAACTACATGGGTAAGAGGTGGTAAGAAACAAATACAGATTACCACTGCATTTAAAAACTAGCAGCACAATATATAAGCAAAACATTATTGTTGGGAGTCTGCTATTCTCACGTAAGTTAAAAATCATGAGGGAATAGGAGAATATCTAATGGATATTAGCGCATTAACAATATATAAGTGGTATAAAGTTAAGACCAAGTACAGAATTGCCTTTATATAATACTGAACTGGGAGTAGTTTTTTTGTGCATACAAGTCAGCTACCCCTTCCCCGCTTCCCAAGATTCTCTAGTCCCCATCTAGTTATAAACATGCATTTAAGATTTTAATGCTACATTTATTGCATATATTTCTTTACAGCATTTTCTCATACATACTCTTCTCTATTCATGAAATGTTAAATAAAAACATATCCCCGTTTATTGAATATATTTTTTAATAAATTTAAATCTAAAAAGCAAAAACTTTCACTTCACTTTCTATGTGAAAAGTGGCCAGCATTAGGGTTTTGGGTGTTAACATAATGGGGGACCTGACCTGGAGTGCTCATATTATAGCATTGGTTAAGAAAACCTAGCAGAGATTATATTTCTTGAGACTTCTTAGGAAACAACAACTGAATGAAAAACTGCTGGTGATCTTCTACCATTGTTCCATAGAGAGCATTCTAACCTATTGCATTTGTGTGTGGTTTGCCAACTGCAGATACGAAAGTGCTCCAGAGGATCATTACCATTGCCCAGAGGATTATTGCCTGCCCCCCCCCCCCAACAAACTGTACAGTTTCCCCTGTCTTAGGAAAGCTCAAAATATTCTTAAAGACTCATCTTATCCCGGACATTCTTTTTTTGAACTATTACCATCTGGCAGACAGTACAGGGTAATAAAAACAAAGACAAATAGGCTGAAAAATAGTTTTTATCCCAGAGCTGTAACCATATGAAATACTACTGTATAGTGCAACATTGAAGTGCAATATTAGGGGCAGCGCAATGGTGAATAGAATGTGAAGAATATGTGTATATAAGTTTTTACTTGTGGTTCTTACTTCTGTGTCGTGTGCGCTGTGGACAGCATTTAATTTTATTATGAGATACACAATGACAATAAAGATATTCTATTCTATTCTATTCTATTCTATTCTATTCTATTCTATTCTATTCTATTCTATTCTCTATTCTATTCTATTCGACTCTATTCATATCCGCACTGAAAATTGGAGGATATAAAAATATTTGACTCAGGTGAAGACATATTTTCTATGCAGAAATCCTGTAGTTTGTTGATATGAAGTTTAAAATCTAAAAGTGCATGGTCAAAAAAAGACAATGGGTAATTGGCTGGGAAAGATCTCTGCCTTAAACAGAATAGTTTGCAAAGAAGTCAACTGAGATGTTTTTACATCACTACCTCAGGGTGGTTTCCATCCTCTGGGCTTGCTCCAGTTCTTCCTCAGGATCCTTGAATCCAGTAAAAGAGTAGTATGTCTTGTCCCATTTAATAGGCCTGTGAAACATGCTTTTGGTTTCCTGAGTAGACTGAGCATTTGCACTGCCATTCAAGCTTTGAACATGATCCGTAGGTAAACTGCAGGAGTTCAGGATATCTAACACTGTGCTTAACAAGTCTCTGGTGTGCAAAGTAAAACTGACTGTTCGAAATCCTATGAAATGCACAGAACAAGATTATATTTAAATTAATGCATTTATATTGTTTCTATACTTGCTTTAAAACAGACAATGCAAATCAGAGCTGAAGAGTAAACTTCTATTGTTAGTTAATCATAATGCTAAACCTGAGATTACTATAAAGATCTGATTTCTACTGAGAATACTCCTGAATTCAGCAGAACTTGTACCAAGATTGATAGCAATAGATTTTCCTATGAAGAGCTTTACTAACCTTATTTTTGATAATTACTATGTTTGGTCAGATATTTGATCTGCAAGAGCTTGATAAAAATATATAAATGTATAGTGTTTTTATGTAAGCCACACAGCACAATAAGGCTGTGGCAACATATTAACCTTCTAAATAAATAAAGCTGCTATCTATATAAACCTAAGTACAGACATTTCAAAATTATCCATTTTAAGCATAATTTATCCATTACTGTATTTTACAACCTTCTATAATTCTGTTGTCAGTTAAATGGTATACAAATGAAATAAAGCAAACAAACTGGACATTAATCATTTACAGAAATCTCACCAACCTGGTGCATTCCAGATATCTTAAGCTGAAACTCCTATAATACTCAGACAGCATGAAGGACACTAGATTGGAGAAGAATATCTTAATTTTTTTCCCCAAAATGATTTTTAATTATGCAACTATTTCCACAATAATATTCTCAGGGATTTTTTCCTTCTGTTTAATCACGTCTGATTCTCAGAGACTGCCTGGATAAATCCCTGCAGTTTTCTTGGCAAAGTTTTTAAGAAGTGATTTCACATTGCCTCTTTCCTAGGATTGAGAGAAAGTGACTAGTCCAAGGTAACCCAACTAGGTAACTTTGTGATGAAAGTGAAACTCATGGTCTTCCAGTTTCTAGCCTGATGCCTATACTAAGCTGCCCCTCACAAGGAAAATATCAATAACAGAAAAAGGCTAAGCCTCAAATTACCATTTGGAAGTGCAAGGCTGTTAAATCAGGCAAGATATTATGCAGTTTTACAGGTAGTCCTCGACTTACATCCGTAATTGGGACTAGAATTTCTGTCATTAAACAATGCAAAGTCTGACTGCATAGCTTAGCAATGTCAATCCCTGCAGGCCTGGTTGACATCATTAACTGAATCCCAAAGTGGTTAGGCAAGGCAACTTCTTGCTGGCTTTCCACAATCAAAGTCAGTGGTGAAGCCAGCACAAAGTTACAGATTTCAGCCCAGCAGGCAAGTAGCTGCTGGTAGGGAAGGAAGTGAGGGGATGTGGAGGAAGTCAGGAAAGGTGCATGGAGCTACATGAGAGGTGCCATGCAGATCAGGGAGGATGTGCAGGGATGCGTAAGTCAGGGGAAGGTACATAGATAGGCAAGGGAGACCAAGCAGAACAGGTATGGTATGCAGGGATTCGTGAGAGCCCTGCATGTGTTTAGGAAAAGTGGATGGTGCCACCCTAGCAACTTGCAACTTTTCCTATTGGCTTCTCCATTAACTTTCTGGGGAAAATAGCAGAGAAGATGGCAAATGGCAATCAAATGATTGCAGATGCTTGGCAACTGATCATATATGCAAATGGATTTCCAAGTGCTCAGACTGAAATAATATGATCATGGTGGTGCAAGTGCTTAGACAGCTCTGACTCCAAGAACCAGCTGTAACCATTATATGTTCAGTACCATTGTAACTTCTAACAGTTTTTGGATGAATGGCTATAAGTCAAGGACTACTTGTACATATTGCATTTATATACTGACAAAAGGAATAGTAAAGTCACTATGGATATAGAAGGAAAATATTTTGATTATTATTTTAATCCAGCACCTTTAAGGGGGTATATTGAAGATGTCCTAGCATATAATGTAAAAATTTTGCAAATACCAGAGGAGTGTCAATTATCCATAATCTGTCAGTGATTTAGTAAAATTCCAAATGTTAAAATTACCTGCAGCACCAAATGGTTCTTGGATACTGGAAGGACTTTGTTCTCTCTCTCGTACATAAAAAGTGAGCTGAGTTGGTTTAAATGATCTAAAACCTGGTTTTTGAAGATTCTCCAAATACCCATTTAATCTTTTCAGAGAATTTTCATTGATTTCCTGAAAATAACAAAATACTCAAATGCAGAGGCTAGTTACATTAAAGCAGTTACATTCCAAGAAAAAGATTACAACCACCTTGCTTAATAAAATATATTCCAGATGATCAAATACTTTTCTTTAATTAGATTTTTTTCAATTACACTGAAAAGATATGTGGTGCATTTTTTAGAATATTGCAGAATTTCTATTAAGGTAAAAAGTAACACATTATTTCAATGATAAATGAAGAAAATTCACCTGTGCCAAAGAATCCCAGCAATCATTCAATTAATGAAATGTTGCTTACGTATGTTTTTTACATGTTTATTTTAGTAGAATTATATGCTAACTCCAATCTATGAGGAGATTTTATACCTAAATATACAGAATTCAAACAACATAAAACTAAAAAAAACCATATAGCTATCATGCATCTGGGCAGCACCAATCAAATAAAGAAGTTATTGCCAAATTGCCAAAAAAAAACCCCAAATGATGTAATTTCCATTTTTCAAGTCTGCCAAAAAAAATCAAGTGTGAATAGCTTTTCTAAATCTAAGAAGGTTGGAGTCAGCCGAATTCCAAGTGAACATTGTTTTACAGAGGGCTCCAGTTAACTGCATACATTTTAATTTCTTTATTATAAGTAAGCGATATTGTTCTCATATCCAAGTACTTTTTGAGTGTGTGCTCTTGGTTAATATTTTCAGGATCATTGTCTTCTTCCTAGGGCTGAGAGGAAGTGGCTCAAAGTAACCCATCTGGTTTTATGCATACATCAGGATTAGAACTCATGGTCTTCCAGTTTCTCCCAGGTTTTAGCCTGGTGCTTTCATTCTTACACCAGTCTGATTCCTCCAATCAGTTTGATCTGTAAATACATGTATATGTCCCGAAGGGTCAGCTCTACCATCACCATCCTGCGCTTTGCTCGTGTCCTGTCATTAAGAAGGAGGGAACTTCAAACAATCCTTGTACCAGGATCTTCAAGGCTGCTTGCCCTGAGAATGGACTGTAACCAGTTTGATACCTTAAAGTTTCTCAAAGCATCTTACTGGCATCGCATTGGCTGACTGGGAGAATGGTCATGGGGGAAGAGAGTGGGAAAGGAAAAGAATAGCTTTATATTTTGTGTGGGAACATTAGATTCCGCTTGACTTTACTGCAACCAATTTCTTTCAGTAAAAGTTCCTCTCCTTCAACCAAATGGAGTCACAAGTCTTACTTTCTTGAGAAAGTAGACTGGGATAGAAGGCCTGACACAAAGGCATGATAACAGAATAATATTTATCTTTTACAAAAGGATGTCTCTTTAAACAGATGGGCCATAGTTTAATAGTAAAGAATTTGCATGTGTTTTGTGTTTGGAAAGTACTACGTTACAATACTCATGTCAGATTAACAAGCTGCTAGTTAAGTACAAACAGACTTCAGTTAACATAGAAGTATTAAATAGTGTGGTCTTAGGCATGTTCAAAATTCAGATTTTTTTTTAAATACATAGAATTGTATCTCAAAAGATAGAAGAATTTTTTTTTACCCTTTCTCTGGGATGCTGACCAAAAAAATCTGGATGTACTGCAAAATAGAATGGTCGCAGAGCATTTATAGCATCAGCACCAGATAATGCTCTTGCCTGCAATTGTAGTTTCTTCAAACTTAACCTTAAACAAGCGAACAAGCATTGTTAGGCAACCGAATGGAACACAACATTTTGCTTAGGGTAAATGACATGTTACATTAAGGATGGGTAAGGCAGTAAAATTAGATTTGACCATTCTAAGTTACAACAGTATAGAAAAAAATGACTTACAACTATTTCTCATACTTATGAAAGTTTCAACTTTCCCCATGGTCACATGATCAAAATTTGGATGCTTGGCAACTAGCTCGCATTTATGGCAGTTGCAGTTTCTTGGACCACGTGATCATCTTTTGTGATCTTCTGAGAAACAAAGTCAATGGAGAAGCCAGATTCACTTAACAACCATGTTACTAACTTAATAACTGCAGTGATTCATTTTACAGCTATCTCACTTAGCAATGGAAATTTTGGACTCAATTGTGGTCATAAATTGAGGACTACCTATATTTTCTGACAAAAGGTACTTGCCTAACATTAAAAATGTAATTTATAAGATTAAATTATTGAATCAAGTTAAGAATTCCAGGAACTCAATTCACTTTTTATTCAAAGGAATATAACCATTTAAAATGGTATGTTAAAAACTGTACAACCACTTTACCTTCTTACTGTCGACCAATGACAAAACATCTCTGTTTAATCTGGATTCCAAATGGAATCTAATTTCTATAAACAAAGAAAAAAATCATTAATTCATATTTTCTAGTGCTATTTATATTTCAAGTTACAACATTTAACCGAAAAATATTTGATATTACATTAAATTATTTTAAGTAGTGGAAATTATTTTCTGCTTATCATTATGGAACATAAACTTGATAACTTATAAATTGATGAAAACATGTGTCCTCAAAACAATAAATCCCAATCATTCTTATACAAAAATATTACAGTTGCTTCCCTTGGCATGTAATTCAAAATTAATATGAAATGTACTAGAAGTTCTTGCAGTCAATTTCATTCTGAACAAAAATTTTAGAGGAACATAAAGCATAAATGCTATTGAATAAGAATTATTGCTGATGAAATGATACACTCTCTTCTCCATTATTTAATTATTTGTGTACTTAAAAAAAATGCAGTTGAGTTGTGAACTTGTCATTTTCTTTCAACAATACAGAAATTGTTAGCTAATGCCTTCTTTTAATATGTTTGATTTTCCAGTCTAATTTACAGCACTGGGATTTTCTGGAATCCTCCTATATACAAAGAATGATCAGATCTAAACATATTTATTTTTTTAAGATCAGCAAATGCTATCTAGGTACTATTTTATTTAAACATTATGTCTACAGGTTACCATATTCATCAAAGATTCTTGTTAACAATGTAAAAGTTTTTCAAAAGCTTATATAAGGCAATTAACTTCATGTACTTAAAAACTCAAGACAAAATATACTTAAAATGCAAAATAAAATGGTATACAATATAGACCCATTAAGCTGCATGGCATTCCAAAATCCATTTATTTCTTAGGCTCTTTGGTAGTGCCTGCATTGGTATTTACCACACACACAAGGAAGGCCAACTTGGATTCAATAGTCTTTAAAGGCCTATGCGAAGGACATCAGCGGAGAGAGTCGTACAACTACCCAGACAAATGCCTAATAGGTTTTCAGACCTGAAATTACTAAAGCACTCAAAGCAAAAGTAGCTCCTCCAATCCCGTCAGACCAAGTACCGAACCAGGAGGCTCCATTCTCTTTCTTTCAATCGTGGTTTCCTACACACACCTCAGTCCTGCCTCCCTTCCAGCCCTTGTTCTTACAACCCAGTCATTAGGCGCTTGGGGCGTTACACCAATACTTCCCCGTCACAGTAACCGCTCCGCCTGCTGCTGTTCCGCGCCTCACCTGTTCCTTGAAGGGACCGGCATACATACCATGGCTTCACGCGGAAAAGCCCCAAGTTGCAGACGGCCTGATACGATCCCTCCACAAGCAACCTCCTCCGCCCAAGACCTTTTGAGGTGTAGATGCTCCGCCCGCCAAGCAACGTCAACGTATTACTGCCGCCCCTTTGACGTCACCACCACCACCCCTAACCGCCCCCTCCCCACGTGTTTTTAAAGGCAGAGGGCACCGCCCATAATTCTGCGCTGCTGCCGTTTCAGGAGGGCGCATCACCTAGTAAACGAATTCAGCTGGAGGGCTATGCAGACAACTGCATCTAGGTCCCTTTATAATTCCTGTTGAAAGGGCTCGGCCTTTAATTGGAACTGGAATTCAGCTTGTCTTTATTTGGGGGATTCGTGGAGCGCATGTACAAGCGCTAGCCCTCAACCGGTTGGCAGGAACGTTCCCCGCAAGCGTATAGTTCATTCATTCTAGACTTCAGAGTAGACATAAGCAGGCGACTATCTCTGCTGCAGAAACAATATAGTTCCCAAGACCAACCATTGGAGCTACTGCACAAATACTAAGTCACTCACTCAGTGCAGTTATCTAGTAAAATGTTCTCCAGCTGGCCTTGACCAGTGGCTGCTATAAGGACACGTCAGAAATCTAAAGGCATCAGGTTTCCTGAGCTGAATTTAATTTTGTCAAATGTGATGGAGAAAATGTAGTTTGGAATGCAGTTGAGGCCTTTTAATAAAATATTTAATCTGAAAAAATAGTACCAGAACCTTGATTTTTGGCCACTATAGTCTAACACAGCTTTCCTAAACATCTATGGCAGGGGTAGGCAACCTTGGCTCTTTTATGACTCATGGACTTATTGTTCAACTAGTTAAGGATTAAATATTGATTTTTTTTTCAGAAATTGGACATCTTAGAAATGCTTTATGAGTTTTCAAAGAATATAATGTATATGCAAATGAAGGAAGATCTTTGGAACTACATAGGAAAATAAGAGGAATTGAGAATGAATTTTTAGGTTGCCAATTATCTGTGTTGGGAGTTCATTAGAATAAACCACATTACATATAAACTGTATATAAAACATAGATCACAAAAGAAAAAATCTACTACTAAAGGTTCTTAATTTAAATGTTTCTTTGATATTTAGATTTGCTTTACATCTCTTATAATAATGAAATAATTCATAGTCCTGAAAATAAGAGTTGTGTGTTAAAGAACAATTACAGAATTAACATGCATACATAATAGTTGTCCATGCCTTTAAACCTCAAATTTGAACAAGACAGGTTTGCACAAAATGGAAATGACTGTTAGGGTTAAAATGCTGAAAGCTGGTGGTCACAGTTTACATAAGATACTAGCAAAACTCTCAGAGAAGAAAAAAATACCCAATACATGAAAAAATGATGAAGTGATTCTTATACACAAGAAAGGGGCCCAAGATAATTTAAAGAACTATCGCCCAATAAGCCTTCTTTTAGTCATCTGCAAGGTTTTCACCAAGATCATAACAAAAAGAATGAGAACATTAATGACTAAGGCGTAGACACTTCTTAAACTTACTACAATCAATATATGCAAAAACAATGGCAATAATTTGCCTTAATGATCTTAAAGGGGAAATCAACATAGAACAAGGTATGCAACAAAGCAATACATTATCACCTATCCTTTTCTTAGCCTACCTTGAAGTAGTTCACAAACTAGACTGGGCAAAAGATGGAATAAAAATAAATGGCACCTATTTAAATCATTTACGATTTGTAGATGATGTTCTCTTACAAGACCAGAAGAGCTACAAAGACACATACAAGAGCTGCACAAAGCAGGAAAACCACCTGACTTAAAAATAAACCCAAAAAAGAGCCAGGTTGTTTAATAAATTCACCAAAGAAAGAAAACATTTTATATCTGGAAAGGAACTAGATGTAGTATCCTGCAGTACATAGACACTGGCTAAAATGATGATAACTCCCTACATTTAATATTAGACATCTTCTCTCATTATGAAACATTCTTTAGGAAAGACTAACTGAACGCTGAGTCTCAAGAGACATTTTTAATACTATCAACCCTTCTAGCCCACTTTGATTTTGCTGTATCAAGTAGATTTAATGGTACTAATAGTACTACCTACCTAATCTTGTATGACATTAGATTAGTAAATAGGCTTGATCTAGACATGGTATACTACTAGCCAACACTAGAAAAGGCTAGCCTGAGAAGCAGATTCAACAGGGAAATAAAGCAAAAGGAAACTACTCCTTTACTGTTGCAAACAGAAAAACCTACAGAGACATGTCTGTCAGTAGCTGAGCGCAACTCAAGACTATCTTTTATTTCTGTTTAACGATTTCATTGCTTTGAAGCTTCTGCTTATGTTTAGTTTCTTTAAAAACTTACCTCGTTTACTTTGAATAGTGGATTATATACTATCCTCAGAGCTATAAAATCAAAGATTATGAAACCTCAAGTTTTAAACATAAATTAGAAAAACATTTTAATATAGGAAATATTTTCATGAAGAACTGGCCCTTCTTGTCATCACAAGAAACATAATATAGATGAGAAATGATACCTAAACATAGATAAATTGTGCTGATATTTTGGAATTTTTCCAAGGAGATTTCAAAATAATATCATACAATATGTATGCCAATGGTTTTCTTATATACAATTACGAGAAATTTTAAGTAGATTAAAGGATTTGAACAGTGTTATATGGAATTTGAAACAGAATTATGTACAAATTAAGAACATATTACTGCTAAAATTTATAAACTTACTAAAATTTGAAATGGAAGAACAAGCGAATGTATGATAAAATGGGCTAAATGTTGATTATAATATACAAGTGGAACAATTTGATAATATGTGGATGAAAGGATTAAAATTTACATTGTAATCTTAAAGAGAACTTTTATAAAAGGATGTATTGCTAGTATTCTTCACCAGAAATTGTCAAAATATAAAGATACTTCAAATTTATGTTGAAAACATAAAACACGAGGGACCTTTTATATGGGCATGTAAAAAAGCCAAAGTTTTAGATTCAATTACATTCAGAAAATTTTTAAAGATTAATAACTGGCATCAGAGATGTTTCTTTCGAACTGATGGACAAGCAGAAAAAATTCTTGGTCTTTAGTATCGTAAGAGCAGTGTTTATATACACAATGGTGGAAAAATTGACATTAACTACAATGGAGGAATGGATAGTGAAGATGAAGGTGGCTGAGACTGCAAAAATGATAGCTTTGATTAGAGAAGACATTGAGTAAATTTTAAATGCTGACTGGAAGATGCTTTGGGGCTTTTTGTGTGAAACAGAAAAATAAATGGTATTATGATATATGGCTTTGATTATTAGAAACAATAATAATAGAAAAATGCAAGTTATATTGTAACCCTAGATTAGGAGATGAATTTATATCTGTTGTAAAATAAAATCAGAAGTAATTTCTTTGCATTTCACCTTTTTTCAGGATTTTTGGCTTTGCTTTTTCTTTTCCCCCTCTTCTATATCAAATATTAGTTTCAGTTTTTGTTTTTCTAGTTTTAAAAAAATCTAATATTTTTTTAAAAAGACTGATTCTTCTCTATGATCACATTAGAAAGCAAATTTCTCTTTTATTTTCTTTTGTTAGAAACTAATATTGAACAAAGTAAGAGTCTGAGCATAATAGAAACAACCTTTATTGATTCATTTTAAACAATTATTGTAATGAAAGTCTTTATTGACTAAAAAAGCCAACCATTTTTATGTCCCAAACTATAAAATTTTATTATATGCTGTCCTCAGAACTGTAAACTATTTGCATGGAAACAACCTTGTTTTTGAAAGACAGTAAAGATTATGAAACCTCTAATTCTAACCCTGAACTGTGAGCATATTTTGATGCAGAAAAAAAAGTAAATGATCACGAATTGATCCTTCTGAATGACCATGCCTAGAAACCCATATTCTAAATTATTTTTTTTGTTAGAAACAGAAAAACTGAATTATTAAGAGTCTGAACACAACAGAAACAACCTTTATAGATTTATTTTAAGCAATGATTACTGTAACTAAAAAAGCCAGGCTCTTCCTGCCCATTTCATATTCTCTTTCAACCATTTAAGTACGGACGCATTCCCCAAACTATAAATTTGGTCCTTATTAACATTGACAGTCAAATGCTTTATGAAAAGTTTTGGATTAGATATCTGAGCAGCCTGATACAGTCTCTCTGCAGCATTCTGATATTCTTCCTTGTTTCGAATATTGTTACCTTCATATCTGGAAAAAAAAATTAAATCACGAGTTATGATTAGCATTCTATTGTTCTGGAAGACTTTCAATAGCAACATTTTATTTCTTTGACTGGAAATGTCAGCAGAGTTTGTTAGTTTTATTGATCTGTGAAATAAGTATCTAAATAAATAATAAAATAATACATCTTTTGCAGGGGATAAATCAATAATGAACAACAACTTGTTCACCTGATTAGACATGCTTTTCGAATATATACTAACCTTTTTAATACTATTTGAAGTATTTGAGTGGAAGCTCCAGGACTCTGAATACTACTGGCATTTGAAACCAAAAAAACTTCAATTGCTAATAGCATTTCAACTTCACTCATATAAGAAGGAATCAGTAGAAGTTTACGATAAAGATTTCCCTCAGATGGTGGATAGCAACCCAATGCTAAAGCATCTAAAAATGACAAGAAATAAATGAGAAGGTTTAACATTAGCTAAACATATATCTCTGGTTTCTGTACCTTACTACAAATTTTACTACTACAATATATAGACAACTCTGAATTTTTGTACTGTTGATCTAAATGTTAATAAGTATTGGTAGAAATATGTTTTGTTATGAGCTCAAGCTATCATTATGTTCTAGACATTTTGTTGAATTGTTTCAGATTGGCTGTAGTTCAATATAAATACAACCTGGAATGTAATGGTTGTTTTAGAAGAATCCCCAAGTAATTTTACAGGGCAGATAGATTATTACTACTGTATGCTGCCTGCACGTAGGGTTAGCATGCTGACCTGCCTGCTTGCTACCAGACCTTCCCTCTGCCATGCTTTACTGTGACCATTGTCTATACATGTGCTCTCCAAGAAACTCCCAGCCTTGGTTTTACTGCTCTTGACTGTGTTCAAACCATTCCAGCCCAGGACAAATGTGTTTTAGTAGGTATTTAGAATAAAAGAGATCCATTCTTCCCAGAAACAGACCAAAACATGTTTTAATTCGGGCATGAAGCACCCCCCCCCAAAATCTGTTCCATGCACAGAATGGTTACTTTGGACATGTCTTACACAATGCTTTTAATAATCTCAAATCATTTTACTGTTTGCTCCTCAGACCTACAACAGATTTTGTGTAATCAGTTATTTCATAAATTTAAAATGACATGTGAGTACATGTCTCCAAAATTACTCTGGCCAGTGTTCAATATTAATGTAATCATAATTTTTTTAGCGCAAACATTTCCATATGAAGTTGGTCCAACATAAAACAAATTATGCATTTTTAAGAAAGCTTACTTTTATAATGTTTCCTGGCCTTAAGCCACAAACGATTTCTTCCTAGTGCTGTGATTAATCCTCGAAGTAAATTAAATTCAATAGGAATATTTCTTGCAAGTATGAATTCTACTACAGTAGATGATATTTCAATGTTTCTGCTTTCTGCACAAGCACTTAGCAGTTTATTAAACAAAGGGCCATACTGGGTTACATCCAGAGAGTCTGTAAGAGAAAATTTAAGAATATTTATTTATTTATTTATTTATTTATTAAATTTATATACCGCCCTATCTCCCTTGCGGGACTCAGGGCAGTGAACAGGAGATACTAAAAACCACGATAATAAATAAATAGTTTCTGTTTTAAAATCGAATTAAATAACAGGCCTGTTCTAAAAACACACCCATACAAAAACCCCCCACTGAAACATAATCAAACTACGCCAGGCCGGCCGCACGGAATAGATGGGCCTTCAGGGCTCGGCGAAAAAGGCGAAGGTCCGCAACTGTACGTAGGTCGGGGGGTAGGTCATTCCAGAGGGCAGGAGCTGCCACAGAGAAGGCTCTCCCCCTGGGGGTCACCAGCCGGCATTGTCTGGCCGACGGCACTCTAAGGAGGCCCTCTCTGTGGGAGCGGACTGGTCGAAGGGAGGTGTTTGGTAGGAGGCGGTCTTGCAAATACCTAGGTCCATTGCNTTGCCATGGAGCGCTTTAAAAGTTGTTACTAACACCTTGAAGCGCACCCGGAAGGCCACCGGCAGCCAGTGCAGCTCGCGCAGGAGAGGTGTTACATGGGAGCATCTAGAGGCCCCCAAAATCCCCCGTGCAGCCGCATTCTGAACTAGCTGGAGCCTCCGGGTGCACCTCAAGGGGAGCCCCATGTAGAGAGCATTGCTATCCTTCAGCTATGAAGCATACTATTTCTTCCATCAATGAAATGATGCAAACATTTTTCCTATTTTTATATAAGAACAATTAAAGTTATTTTTTCTCCTTAAATTTTATTCAGAAGCTTCTTAAATTTTAAGAGCCAGGCACACTGCATAATCATTACATATATCTTATATTAAGAAGTGAAACAAAAGGTCTATAGTAAATCTTATATAAAGTACTAAATCTCTCCTGTCAGTCTGTATCCTTCAATTAGCCAAAACAGTGCATCACAGGGCAACAATTTTTGAATCAAGATACCTGAAATAGCCTATTTTAAAGAATATATTCAAAATCTGGTACCAATTACTCAAATGCAATTGAAATTTCAAGGATATTCAAACTTGTTGTATTGGAAAAGTTGTGATCATTGCAGCACCACTGCCAGGTGGTCATGAGTTCTGATGCTCCCTGCCAGCTTCTCACAAAGTCAAAGTGTAAGCCAGTAAGAAGTTGGAAATCACTTCTGTTCCTACTGCTTTTTTTACTCACTATAGCCATTGTTTATCCTTTTCGATAAGTAAATATTGACCAAGGATGACCAACATGCCATAGATTTGTGTAATACTATTGAAAATACATTTTATGAAAACACAACTTTTATGAAAAACTGTAAACTAGTAATAAAAACATTTAAAAGCACTTAAAAATTCCAGATTTCTTAATTATTTAAGAAAATAAAATAATTTCCTTAAAGGATCCCCAGAACATAGAATACAAACAAAATGAAATAGTTCATGTGAACTAAACAAAAGTTTCCTCTTACTGAAGGAAGAAAAGTGTTGCCAAACTTATGTTAGTAAAATGAGATATCCAGAGGAAACACTAGAAGTAAGACAAAGATGCAATTTTATGTGTAAGTGATCCTCATTTTCTATAGATCTAATTTTTTACTATTTACTATTTCTAAAAAAATCTATATATTATATCTTGTTATCAGTTATCTTATGCATACAGGAGCTTTTATGCATGTAGATGCATTTTTTACATTTCAAGATTTCATTCAGGGTATTGTTATCTATGATTTTATTTATTTGAAAAATTTATCTGGCCATCCATTTTAAACTAGTAAAACTGGGCAGTTAAAAAACAATGCACACAAACTATATTAATTAAAAAAATCAAAATAAAATAGTACAAAATACAATTAATCATCATTATCACACTATAGCTAAGATTTCTCAAAACAAGTCATAATACCAACTTCCTGTAACCGCCATGGCAAGTGAACATCTTGCTGGTTTTTGCTAGCTAGCGAGACAGTTTTACAAGGGGAATCACCCCTAAATGATGGATCTGATTCAGCATAACCTCCCTGAACAAAGGAGATATCACTGAGATAATCCATGCAACTCTGCACAGCCATTCCTCATGAGTAGACTGGAAATTGTCATTTTTATGGTTGATTTCTGATTGGAATATCTGAGAGTTAGGATTATATCAAGCTCAAACTAGCATAGCAGCCTTGATGTACCCTAAATGCAATCAAACCTTGTATCTTAATCAGAGATTAAGGCACTTCAGGTTGGCAAGACTTTATTGTAAATTGTATAAATTTGATTTAATTTTAAGAAATGTATGTGATATTTTAGGCTATGCAAAAAGGCTGCTTATTATACGGAATTTAAAAGCCAATAATGGATTAAGGGAATAAGGAGATTTGGAATTGTAACTGTAAATTATTTAGAAGATACATTCTCATGGAAAAAATGGAGAGCCAGAGGATAAAGAAAGCAGAAATCCATAGTCCAAACTTTTGATACCTTTCAGCTAAGCTTTTGGGCAAAATGTATTAAAAATTGATAAAACTGACACAGCATATTCTAATGAACTTGTAAAACAAGAATGAGCTGCAATTGATGTTTATAAAATTAATTTGAATGAGATTTAAATTTAATGCAAATGATATGATGGATGACATATTCCCTAAACGAGATGAACAGACATTAAACCAGGATAACTCCTTTCTCTTGGATATATAAAATAGCTTTGCTAAGATTTGGAGGGCCTTTTTTAGAAGTAATAAACAAAAAGATAATTTTTAGTTACAGTTTGGCTACAAGATAGATCTGTTAAAAGTTCTAGAGGATTTTTACTTTAAGACATAAATGAACAGAAAATTACCTTTGGAACTCTTTTTAAAGGGTTAAATATTTTTTTTAAAAATCCAGGGAAGATTTATAAGATTGGTTTATTCCATCATGGTTAAAAGAAGAAAACTTATCTGGTTATCTTTACTGGACTTTTGCTGACAAAGATTGATGTAGCATTTTGATTTTAGTTTCCTTACTTAAGAGATGAGCTATGAGTAGAAGAGAGATTATTCAGAGACAGTGAAAAACTATTAAAATTATTTTTACTTGCTGGGATGAAAGAGAAAGTTACTTCTTTTTCTTTATCTTTTCCCTTTTCATTTTCACACTCCCTTTTTTTTGTGTTTTTTTGTAATTTGTATTGACTTTTCAATCATTCTTAATTAAAATTATTTGAAAAAAGAATAAGTCGTAATACTAATAGACATATGGATCATTTTAATATCCTTGCCTTAACATCTTAGAAAAAACTTGATCTTCATAGCCTTCCAAAAGGATCCAGGCCATCTGGACCTCATGGCATTTCAAATGTCATGTTCTGTGGCAGAGGAGGCATAGAACCTCTGTGAATAAGTAGAGCTACCTATATTAGTAAACCTGATTTATTAAGAGACTGAAAACAGAAATATTTGTTTAAGATTTTACATTATTTATACATTCCCAAATCACAGCACCTCTGGGTAATGAAAATTGCATGATGCAGATTCAAACTAAAGTCTATTATTTTAAGTAATAAGTAACAAGTAATTAACAACTTACTATAAGTATTCTGAAAACCTGGGAGATTTTTTAAGACTTCAAACGTTTCATCATACCGGTTTTTTGTAATTAATTCAGATGCTACAGCATATAGCAAATTATGTCGATTGAGGACATCTATTCTTTCACAAGGCCATGCTGCTGTATTTATTATCCATTCTGACCCTGTGGGAAGTAATACTGTTTTAAAATTGTTAGAACATACAGCAAAAAACAAAATCATGGGACTAATCTCAAATAATATTAGGCTTTCTAAATGTCCTTTAGAAGAAATTTAGGTTCTTAATATTCCTTGAGCTACATTACATAGTCTGAGGGAGCGTAGTAATATCCTTACAAAAACAGCAAGTCCTTATATTCGATTCTTGGAATAGTTGCTGAAAAAAATCCATAAGTATTACTAAAAGCAACACATCACAAGGCAAGGATACAAAACAAAGGGCATATCTGAGTGACAATATAAGTTATGTAATATTTTTGAGGAGCAAATCCTTCATTGCACATAAACTAGGAAAAGCTACTTTATTAAAATAGAATTAAAATAACAGTTCTCTATGAAGTAAAACAAAGTTAGGTGTCTAATTTTAGATGTCTAAAGTTGTGTGTGAAAGTTCAGGAAAGAAGTGATATTCAATCTTGCACATGTAAAGATTTTGTCAGCTTTTGTTCATTTAGGGATTGATGGAAATATACAATTTGATGAGGGAGGATGGTGCACTGTATTTTTTCTTTATTTTGAGATTCATTCAATAATGAAAAACATAATTGAAAAATAAACCTTTTATCACTATTTAATACTTTCTGAAATTTGTCTTTTAGATTTTAAGTCTGCTAATAAGAACCTTTTTTTTTGTAATTATTGTAATTATTCTTTGAAGATACCTTTTTGGCTAAAGAGTGGAATAAAAATGCTTTGAATGTAGCATATACTTTTGTTATGACATTATTCTAAATACATTCCAAAATCAGGAACTAAACATGTCTTTCCCAATAGGCTTATGTTAAAATAAAACCATAAATATATAAATAAATGTAAAAAAATCATAATAAAAATACTGGTTTATTTATTTATTACATTTATATAGCTGCCCATCTCACAAGAAGTGACTTTGGGTAGTATACAGCAATAAAAATATAAAAACAAAGTTGTCAATATATATAGCACACATTCAATCAGCAACAGAGCCATCTCAAGAACTCAGAAGTCCCCTAAGAGCCTCAGGCCTGATGACTGTTGCAATATTCTATACAATGTATCAGTGCTCATCGCTAAGTACTTTCTCAAACAAAAGCTAGCCTACGTGACCAACAGCTATGTCACGTATGCCTAAGGTGACTTCCTCATTTCCTAAAGGGCACAAAAAAGACCGTATATGGTAGTAAGGAAATGTTCCCCTCCTCCTGAGATGTAACCACTCCCATACCTGAT